TCTCAGCCCTTGGGAGACTACACAGCAGTGATCCCATGCTTTTGTTTCCATTCACTTCCTCTCTCTGCAGATCTGACTCCCTCAATGTTGAACATGCTCAACTCAGCACTATGCTCACTACCCTGTCTGTTTTCGGCCACTCTACTTCCATTCCTCTTTTGAGGGCAAGCATGGTGTGTGTGAGTGTGCATGTAGATGCGTGCTTCTGTGTGTATGTGTGTGTTCTCGGTGGGGCAATGGGGTTCCCAGAGACATTCTCACAGCGGAGCTATCATGGCTAGTGTTGCATGCATGTATGTTTGTATTTGCATGTGCTTGTGTGTGTGTGTGTGTGTGTGTGTGTGTGTGTGTGTGTGTGTGTGTATGTGTGTGTTCTCAGTGGAGCAATGGGCTCCCAGAGAGGCATTCTTACAGAAGAGCTATGATGGTTAGTGTTAATTGTTAACTTGACAGAATCTGGAATCACCTGGGAGATGGGCTCCTGGTAAGGCCTGTGGAGATTATCTTGATTAAGTTAATTGATGTGAGAAGACCAATCTTAATTATAGATGGGACAATTCCCTAGGCAGGGGATCCTGGACTGGATGAAGTAGAAAGTGGGCCGAGCATTAGCATACAATTACTGTGCTCTGCTTCCAGGTTATGAATATGGTGTGAGCAGCTGCTTCAAGCTCCCACTGCCTTGACTTCCTGCCATAGTGGACTATATCCTAGAACTGTGAGATAGAACAACCCATTTCTCTCCCAAGCTGCTTGTATCAGAGTATTTTATCACAGCAACAGGAAAATAAACTAAGATAGGAGCCAAGTGCTGCCTTCCAAGGCAGTAACAGGGTGCGATGTCAGGGAGCATTGCGTCATCTGGCTCCTGTCTTGCAGAGACAAGCTGGCTCTTCGAAGTCAGCTTCCAATGGTGCTTCCTGTGTTCTCCCTACACACAGCCCTTTTGCTTAACTTAACCAGAATTAATTGTGTGACAACAAGGCAATATACAGCGGATTAAAAATGAAACAAAGGACTGGGCAGCATTGGTACACTTCTTTAGTCCCATCACTGCTGCAAGCTGCAAGAATATATTACAGAGATTCAGCTGTATATAATAAATTTATACCTAGAAAGGCCAAGGAATTTTTCTAGAGGGAAGCCATTTATCAGGGAGTATTTGGTGTTATTCAGCTTTTAATATATCAGCTGTCTTCTGCTATGAAATTCTTATGTGCCCATACACTACTAGGCCATATGGCAAAAAGTGTAAGCTTCTCAGACCTATGGTTGATCTACTAGATAACACCCCCACAGAGCCTAGAAGACAGGTGGGCTGTAGATGTATAGCTTTGTTCCTTATGCAAATGAAGCTCAGACCATCCCTTTCCTTCAGGCCTAGTGGCATCCCAGAGCTATTGACTCAAGACAAAGGAGTTTTTTGCACAACCAGGTGCAGTGAAGACTGGAGCAGAACTCTTGGTCCAGTCAGAGTCACACGGCTGGAGAGAAGAGAACAAGGCGGAGTTTCTGTAGATGGTAAAGCAGACTGGCTTGGACTGAGGAGAAAGGAGCAGGGAAAAGTTTTGCAGACTGTAGGTGGATTTGAATCAGGTCAGGAGAGGAGAAGAGGAAGGAAAGATGGAGAATGGAGGAATGGAAGATGAGGATGAGATAGAGAGCATAAGAGCTCAGTTATTACTAGGGCTATGAGAGGACAGAAAAAGAAGGGACAGAGAGGAACTGAGTGTCAGGATGGAACTGAAACTGTGTAGATAGAAGTTTGTCTTAGAGAAATAAAGGAACAGATGAAAGAGCATGGTGTAAATAGATTCTTCTCCCTCAGATAATCCCACGCCGGACGTAGTGTCTTCCCCAGGACTCAGGGAAGGATTTTCTCGGGGCAGGCCCCTGGGAAAATTCCGATACATCACTTGGGAGGCAGAGGCAGGCAGATCTCTGTGAGGTAGAGGCGACCCTGGTTTATAGAGCAAGTTCCAGGACAGCCAGGGCTACACAGAGAAACCCAGTCTTAAAAACAAAACAAAACAAAAAAACCCAAACCGAATAAAGGGAACAAAACCATGTAAATTAAAAACAGCTTTCTTGGCCCTCATCTTTCCTTCTAGTGACATCTGTCTTCTCCTCTTTGTGGCCAAGCTTTAGTTGACTAGGTACACACTGTGCCAGTGTCTCCTCTCCTAACTATTCCTCTACCCACTCCAGGAGTGTCTGCCTCCAGCAGCTCTCTGGAAAATATGCTGTCTTGCCCTGGATCACTCAGTGTACCTGTCTTCTTCTATCCTGTTTAGGCCCTAGTCTTTGCCACTTGGCTTCTCACCACTGGGTCCCCAGGCCCTCCTCTCACTCATCTTCTTCTCTGAAGATCTCACCCCTGAGACGTTAGAGGTCACCTCTGTGTCTATGATGCTCAGACCTCCCAAGAAACTCCTGCTTCTCTACTGAGGGACACCCGTGTCTCAAGGTGCCCACTATGAGCTTCTAAGAACATTCCATGAATGCTCCTCTCAGCAAATGGCATTGGCCTATATGGTCATCAAGCCAGATACACCGCTCCTTACCACAGTGCTCTACGAAGTCCCGTTCCTCCCCACTCCCGACAGTCCTAGCATGCACCCCCAGATCCCAGGACAGGAGGGGCTTGGTAAATATGTGATCAGCTGAGTGACAGCAGCAGGAACATTGCACAGAACACTTTCACAACTCCAGCCTCCTCTCAGCCCATGAGATAGGCAGGTAATTACCATTGCTTATCAGATGAAGAAACTAATTCCCAGAGAGATGAACAGTCTTGCCTGGGTGTGGGATCGCAGGCTAAATGAATATGTTGGAAGTTGGAAGTTCCTATCCCAGGTCACTACTACAGCCAGGGCAGCCTCCTTGCCAAGCCATGGGACCAGTGAGCTAAGAAGCTAAGAGCAAGGTGATGTTCAGAGGTCCTGGTGGTATGGTCCAACCAGACCATGCCTAGGTGTATCTAGCATGGCAGACATCTGTTGACATCCAACCGTGAGCAGGCTTCCTTGGAGCATGCATGGCAAGGTTCTTGTCTGGATGCCCTGGTACCTAGGAGCCCAGGGCTTGGGGTCTGGGTCTGGCTGTCAGTGTAGCCACATGTAACCTCATCTCTTGCTGGGATTCAAGTGACTTCTCTGGAATGGGAATATGAGTATGAGAAGAGTGATGATTTCTGGGAAGGACAGGCATTGGCCAGTGACCCTGCGCAGAAATCTTATATAGGCTCTTTGGGCAGCATCCCTCAGGCAGGCTGAGAGTCGTGGGGAAGCAAGAACCCGAGGCCCCTACTTGGATACCCCTGTTATTTTTATAGTGCTTATCTCTTCCAGGATAGCTGAACTGGAGAGAACGCGCTGAGACCCTGGTGGAAAGGGGTGACCAGGGAAATCTAGGTCTTTCTGAGAACATAGAGATCCCCCAGCACAAAGATGGCATTGGCTCCCTATTACTGTTTCAAAGGAGCATAGACAATCCCAGGCATACTGGGGTCCCCGGGGCTACTGTCAACAAAGGAGGGTGACACTGGATCTCAGAAGAAGCCCAGGCTCCTCTTTCCATGTGGCCCTGGGTACCAGGGTACCAGGAATTCCTTGAAGGTGGACTGGGTCTGGCCAGATCTGGGTAGCATGGCTTCCTGTCCTGTGTGTCTGGGGATGTGGAAGGAATGTTATGGGGATCCTAGGTCTCCCAAGGGACCAGGCATTGCCAGAGTCTGTGGAGTTTTTAGGAAGAGACAAGGAAGGCTGAAGGAAGGAAGTATCAGGGCTCCGGGAAACTATAGGAGAAGAATCCAGGCTCCGGTGAGGTCTGTGCCCCTGGTGGTCACTGTGCATGTCAGCTCTTGGCATCCCTGGAGCAGACTGGGAAACTGAAGGCCTCAGTTGGATTGGGTCAGAGGGCAAGGGTGGAAATGGTCCTGGAGTGGATGGGTTGACATGATATCAAGAATACTGACCTTGAAGGACGTGGCTGAGGATGTAACTTTGGGAAAGGAGACTGTGAAGTTGGGGTCCGGGGCCTGGGCAGGTGTTCTGAGGACTAGACAGATCGTAAACCTGAAAGGTCTGGGGTCAAGCTTGGGTTTCCCCTGAGGTGAGTGTGGAGCTGAGAAGATAGCACTGTAGTGCCCAGGCCTGATGATCCCTAACTAGTAGCTGTGGAACTACAAGGCCTCAGGAGAGCAGGACCTGGGGGAAAAGGTCTCTTGAGCAGGGTCTGAGGCCTGAGAATTTCGAAAGGTAGGGCAGGATGAAAAGGACATAGGGGCAGGCCGTTGAGGAAAGGGTGTGCAGATGCTGGTGCCAGGGGTAAGAGTTGAGAGGGCAAAGCTCTAAGGGAGTGAACTTGGGACCTGGAGGATTGTGAGGCGCTAACCATGCTAGGTGGAACACGGCGGAGACTGGGACAGGATAGCGGCGCCCTTTGGGGGGCGGGAGACTGGAACACACCGGCTGGCAGTGCCAAGAGGGATGCAAACATGGATGATCCCACAGTGGGAAACAGCCTGGAGAAGGGGTCGGGAAGGGGGCTGGGCGCTCTTGGGGGCGGAGCCTAGACGAGTGGGCGGGGCGGGGCCGAGACAGGGGCGGGGCCAGGACGCTGTGGCAGTGGAGAGGCGGGGCGCGCCCAGGTGAGAGAGCCGCCCCCCACCCTCCAGCGCCCCTGCACCGGGCGCCGGTGCCAGCTTCCCTGTCTGCCCCTTGGCAGAGCGGGCTCCGCGGCCGGCTGCACCTCGGCGGGCCAGACCCGGTGCGGCTCCGGCTCCATCTTGGCGCCGGGCACCTGTGGCGGCAGCAGGAGCAGCGCTTCCGTCGGCTTGCGCGGCCCCGGCGGCGGCGGCGGCGACAGGGTGAGAGGCTAGCCGTGGTGGGTGCTAGGGTGGGGTGGGCGGCGCCGCCCCTTCCTGCAACCCTGAACCCACTCCTCACCGCTGCCTGCGCCGCATTCCTCTGCACCGTCGCCTCCCCTTGCCCTCTCCGGTCCTCTTTTCCGTGTCTCCTCTGCCCAGCCTCCGGGTGTTTTCGTTTGTTTGATTTTTGTTTTGCTCTGCCCCGGACCTGTGTCCGTCGGCCTCCACCCCGCCTCCCTTTGCTTCTTCCCTCCCGGTTTCCTCCTCTCTTCCATCCGCATCCCCCACCCTGTGCTCTGTTGCCACCACCCCGCCCTCTTCTGCCAGGGAGCATCCCTACCCGTGAGCTCCCTGCCCCATGTCTTTGAGCCACTGCCTTTGTCCTGGAAAGGTCTGTAGCCTAGTTCTGAGGCTTGTGTTGGGTCATTCTCCCGAAGACCCCTGTGGACTTTGCACTGGAGATGCGGGGGAGTCCTGACCAGGGAGGCTGCGTGGTTGTGTGGTGCGTTCAGGCCTTTGCCCGCAGCAGGGGCGGCCTGTGTTTGGCATGCAGAGTGCTGCTGTGTGTATGAACGCTCTCTCCTGCAGGCTCACACTGCAAATCGGCCTGTGCCTTGATCTCTGGGGTGACCACTATGAGGCATGTGCCGATGCTGGGGCACTGTGCTGGGGAGTGCAGGTAGGATCGCAGTGGCCACCTGGGCTGCTTCCATGCTGTGGCAGCCCACCCACTAGAAGCACCTCTAAGGGAGTGAGCAAACCCTCCCAGGGCTTGGCTCAGGCTCAGTCTCTGAGACTCTTAGGGGTTTAGATCGCTCCATGGTGAGCAGGGTGGCATCTTGGAGGTTGTTGCCCCACACTTACCCTGAGAACCCTTTCCCTGCATCCTGTCTTTAGGCATGATGTCATCTTGATGAGACTAGAAGCTATGAGGGGCTGAGTTTAGCCCCTGGACTGTTTTAGGAATGCTCCCCGCTGCGTTCCCCAACTTCGGCCTGAGTGTTCCTCTTAGGCCCCTTGTTTGCTCTGGAATGGATCAAACCACCTGCAGTAGGTGGCCACACCCTTCTAGACAAGGGGTCTGAGGGATTTGTGGGGGGTATACCTACCCGGTCCTTCAGTAACTTCTGTATTTTAGTACTGTGGCCAGTCCTGGTTCTCTGCTCACCCCCTGCTCCCTCCTTTATGGACTTGCTTTTCATTTAGTGGCTTTCTGGACACAGAGGCCGCCATCTAAGCACCTGCTGTTTAAGAGGAGAGTGCTTACATGGATGACATAGTGAGGTCTGTGATGGGCCTCTTGGAAGTCTTCGTGGGTACATCCCAAAGGTCTGCACTTCTCAGTTGGGGTGAGGATCAGACCAAGTAAAGCCAACAGTCTCAGGCTGGGCTAGTTTTGAAGTTTCTGAAAATTTGGGGGGTGCTTATTCAAAATGACAATGACTGCTTGCTGCATGTGAGGGTGGTTGATTCTTTAGTTGTTGACAGTAGAACCTGAGGCAGCAGGACAGTCCAGCAGTGACCGCAGGACACCAGCCACAGCCATCACAACTTTTGCATTAAACGAGGCCAGAGAAAAGACATCAAGGTATTTCTCAACGCGAATGCTCTTGGATACGTCTGCCTTTTATGTTATGCTAAAACATCTTCCCAGGAGAGTGTCTGTGTGTGGGTACATACATGTGAGTATAGATGCCTACAGAGACCAGAGACATCTGATCCTTTGGAGCTGGAGATGCACATAGCTGAAAGCCACCCAACATGGGTGTTGGGAACCTTAGGTTCTTTGCAAGAGCAATATGTGCTATCAACTACTGAGCCATCTCTCCAGCTGCATCCCAGGATCTCTTTTGGGCAAAACTAGAACCTGCCCAGGACTGTAACATGGCTCTCTAGGCATGTGTCATGTAACCTCAGCCTTGTGTACATGCACAGTCTACCTAGATGAAGGTTTAAAATAGGCCCTGGGAGACTAAGTGTGATGACGGGGCTCCGGGGAAACTGGTGATGTCACAGATAGGCTGAAGGTAGCAAGAACTGGAAGACGAAGCCTACTGTCGGCCATCTTGGTGGTTTCCTAAAAGGGTGTCATGGCTTCTAGCACTTTCCCAGTGCTAATTCCTACAATGCTGTGGCCTCAAGTCACTGATGAGGGAGGAGGAAAAGATGATTACCTCATGCCATTATGTTCAGTCCTCCCAGCAACCTTGTGGGGTAGGAGGACTAGCTAGCTTTACAAGGGGGAGTTTACATACATGTCAAAGTGTGGTCTGAGGTGGCACCTTGGCCATCCTACTGAGCATTCCTAAGGCCCAGATTCCTGGGCTGGGGCAAATATTGGAGCCTCTGACCAAGTGGATCTCTTTGGCTAAGCTGGTCTGGAAGTTTCTGCAAAGCTGGGGTTTTTAATTCAGAATGCCATTGGTGGCTTGCTGTACGTGAGGGTGGTGGATACACTGGTGAGCTTTATATTGGCCATCTGCAGCTGTGGGTTCCTTGACAGTTTTCAATTGCTCCAGGGCTGAGTGTTGTCACTGGCCACTTGTAGAGTGGTGGAATAAATGAGGTCACCAGTAGATACGTAGCTTCCCACTGGGGACTCTGTGGTCGCTGGTCTCTCTGGGGGATGGGCTGTGTCTGGGGAGGGGGTTGGGATTCCCTCAGTCTTGTCCCACTTGTTTCCTCTAGGGGCCAAGAGACTGGCCGGTCCTTTATTGTTCTGTTCCCTAGGAGGATCCAAAGTAGTGGATCTCACCCAGGTCTGGGTGGATTCCTCTGATGGGTTTCCTTAGGGCTCTTGGACCCCATGGTTGGGTGGTTGTCTCCCTGCCCACAGATGCCACTTGGTGGCCAGTCTGCAGGTGTCTTTCTGCCCTCCTTACTCCATGCAGCCTAAGAATCAGGTGACGTGGGTGGGTGGTGGTCAAGCTTTGCTCCCACTCGCTTGCTCCCTTGGAGTGTCATGAACACCATCGGGAGTACAGCGGCAGGGAGAGGTACTGGAACTGCAGGTGTTTACAGTGGTCAGGTCAGAGAACTGCACACCGCTCAGGGGCCCTCACATACTCATGGGCTTGATTCCTCACGGAGCCATTGGCTAGCCCTGTGCCCTTGGTCAGGTCACTAAGCTTCTGAGCTGTGGCCTCATTTGTAGAATGGGGATGATGGATTGCATCATGAGGTTGCTGGGACAGCGGAATGAGAGAGACAGTGTTTGCAAAGCCTGTGGCCCGAGCCTGCAGCATCCAAAGCTGTTCTTGTCACCATTGTCATTAGCTTTGGTGCTTACCCCTGTTTGTTGGGTGTGAGCGCTCCCTGAGGGCAGCCGTGGGCTAGAGCCCTTTCTTTACCACCCATCCAGTCTGGCTCTGGACATGAGGAACAGCTGGGATGGGACACTCTCACTTACCAAACTGGCTGTGTTCAGTGTGGCTTGGCCCAATACGGTGACCATTAGCCACATGCAGGCAGTTATTTAAATTATTCATTGGAAATTCAGTGTCTTGGTCACAGTACCGCCTGACAGGTGCTCAGGTGCCACATGTGACTGGTGCCCACCCGACTGGGCAGGGCAAGGGTTAGCCTTTCCATCACAGACTCTGTACTTAGGCTTCAAGACTCCCCACACTGTTCTGAACTCGAGACAGGGAGTTAATTCCGATAGCAGAAGCTGAGTTCAGGAGCACTGCCACGTTCCATTTTGGGTGGCCTTGCTCACCGGGCTGGGTGGTTGGTTTCCTGTCACTCTTTATCAGCCTAAGGTGGGGAGGATTGGGATTGCCTAAACCAAAACTGTCGCCTTCTGCGTCTGCCTTGCCTCTCTAGCCCATCCCTCCTGACCGGGAGTACCAAGGTGATCTTCCCCATTTGACAAGGGCTGGGCTGGCCCAGTTATCCTGACCCTCTGGCCCTGCCCATGTCCCCAACCTACCTGTCACTTTCCTGTGTATCTGCTCGTACTTCTGGGCACCTCCCTCTCTCCCCAGCCTCGGTTTCCATGATAATTCTCCAGAAAGTTTTCTCCTACTATCCCTGCAAGTTCCTTGCCTTGGCAGGGCCTTTCCTCAGACAGTTCTGGGCGCTTAGCCCACTCCTCCATGGCCTTGTTTTGGAGTTCATTCTCTCTGTCTGCCATGCGGCAGTTGTCCTCTGAATGCCAGGTGCACGTCAGGGCAAAGCGCTAATCTGATGGTAAATAACAGACCATAATAGTCCCGACTCTGCTAACTTTGGGCTCTGGGGAGACAGGCTGAGGGTCAGCTAGAGCGTTCTGTTCAGGCTCCATGATGCTAAAGCCAGGGATGGAGGCAGCCCAGCTGGGCCAGCCGGGAAAGGTTCTCAGGAGGAGATGGTGAGGTGGGAAGAGGGTTGCGTTGAGTTTAGGCAGCTCCGGGGATGGTGGTGGTGGATCTTGTGCTGGAGTAGGCACACTGGGAAGGGAGTTGACATTTTGCAGAGGGTATGTCTGATTTTTGCCATTGGGCATCTTTTTCTCACTGCTGGATGGTCGTCCCTAGGAAGAGCCAGAAATGATTGCCACATTCCCAGCTGCAGAGCAGTGAGTGCAGCATTCAGCAGGGGTTCAGGAAATGGCAGCAGATGAGTGAGCAAATGGGGTGAGGACCGGCACTAAGGGCTGATTGCAATGTCTCCCTTTCTTAGGGGTAGGGTGAGAGTCAGGAACCTGTTTCCCTTCGCCTCTGACAAGACGGTCTGAGATGTGTCCCAGTTCAGTAGGTCAGGCTAGAGAGGATGGGAGAAGGGCACGAGCAGAACCAGGGAAGTTCTCAGCATATCCGGTATTCATTGCTTCCTCACCCCACAATCCTTCTCTGAGGCCCTTCCCAGGAGGCCCCAGTCCCTATTCAAGTGGATGCTGCCAGTCCCAGGAATACTCAGCTGTGCTGCCTTTAAATCTGCAACCTTTCTGTGTTGTTTGGCTGAGAGCTGTTTTCCCAAAGCCTCCTTATGATGCCGTATGCCCACTCTTGGGTTCCCCTCCCACTGGCCCCTACACCCACACCTATCTCATAAGTATGGTAAACAACTGGCATGGTGGTGGTCTCCAGGGCCCATGTCTGGAGTGGTGATTATTAGACATTTGCAGTGTCATCTGTGCATCCCACAGCAAGCCTTGGTTTGAAGTGTCTGGTGTGTGTCTGACATCCTTATGGCTCTGATCAGTCAGGTCGGCTGGGACTGAAGCTGCTTCCTCAGTGTGCCTAGCACAGTGTAAGCTCAGAGAAGAATGTGGCTGAGGTGCCAACACCCAACTTGGCTTCACTCACTTCCTTTTTTTTTTTCTCTCGTAGGCAACCATGAGTTCTAGCCACCCTGAACCAGGTGCCCGGGAACCCCAAAGTCCCCGCCCACAGCTTCTGTCCCAGAGTTCTTCCAGCTTGCTGTGTGAAGGCCAGGAGCAGAGGCCAGAGCTGCGCAGGAGTGCCAGCAGCACTGTATGGCAGGCACAGCCAGGTGAGGCCAGCACTAGTCCCCGGACCCTGGAGGAAGAGGGGTGCCAGACTGAGAGCATGGAGCAAGCGCAGACCTCGAGCCTTCGGTCACAGGCTGGTGCTGGAGGCCACTGGAGAAGCAGCACCGTTGGCAATGTGTCTACCATGGGCATCGGAGACCTGTGTCGCCTCCGGGCCCCAAGTGCGGTAGCTGTGCAGAGGAGCCACTCAGACTTAGTCCATAGTACCCAGACCCGGGGTCATGGCAGTGCTCAGAAGGCCAGCCTCAGCTGTTCTGCCCTTGGCGGCTCACCTGTCCAGAGGGCTCAGCTGCAGCCTGGAAGTGTTACCGGTCAAGAAGGCCAGACCCCTGCAGGCCCGCAAAGTGACCTGGCTTCAGAGGACGGGACTTCTAAATCAGCCTGCGTGTTGGGGGAGAGTCAGGTGTTAGTGCCAACTGTGAAACTGGAAGGTCCAACTGGTCTCATCAGCAGTCCCCAGGGTGGACCCAAAGCTACTGGACAGCTGTCTACCACTTCCTGCCATGCTCTGCCCCCAGCAGCCCTGCTCTGCACTGTGAGGGAGGCTGCAGTTGGCAGTTGCTGCCATGCCCTGCCTGCCACAGGCATCCTGGCCTTTCCCAAATTGGTGGCATCAGTGAGTGAGTCTGGGTTGCAGGCTCAGTGTGGGATGAAATTCCACTGTAAGATGCCTGGGGGCATCTCTGGGCACCCTCACTGCTGTGTCCACCCTTGGGCGCCTACAGGGCTAGCCACAGAGTCTGGCTCCAGGACCAAAGATGTGTGGACCATGACCTCAGCCACTGACTTGGCCTTGGGTGTGGCATCAGCCCAGGATGCTGGGGTTCAGGTAGCTCCAGTGGCAGCCTGCAAGGCTGTGGCTACCAGCCCATCCCTGGAAGCACCTGAGACTCTGAACATATTCCCAGAGGTAATGCTGGGGTCCGGCCTTCAACAGGCCTCATCCCCCGTGAGGGAAGTGCGATGGGATGCTGAGGGCATGACATGGGAGGTATATGGAGCCTCAGTGGATCCTGAGGTGCTTGGCATTGCCATCCAGAAGCACCTGGAGATGCAGTTTGAACAGCTGCAGCAGGCACCAGCCAGTGAGGACAGCCTATCTGCAGAGGGCCGCAGGGGCCCTCTGCGGGCTGTCATGCAGTCGCTGAGGCACCCCAGCTGCTGTGGCTGCTCTGGAGCTGCTCCCGAATGAGGAATTGTGACCCTGAAGCTGCCCCTGACTCTAGACTTGGTCCTATGCCAGTGACAGTCACAGCGGAGACTCTGTCACCAGAAGCCACCCTCTCACTTGAACATCAGCCTTGGGCTTGCCGTTCCATGCAGCTGGGCTGTTTTTTAAGGGCTTGATTCCCAAGAGCCACATCTCCATTCTGGGCTCTGGACTTGGGGACAGGGTTTTTGCATTGCACATCAGCAAAATCCTGATTTCTTTCCTGTAAAAGTACTTAACCGTTTGTTTAGTCTGTCCTCAGAACTTTGCTGTTACTCCCCCAGGACTCTTGGTGGTTTTATTTTAATAGCATTGCTAGGAAGTAATGAATTGTGACGTTACGCAGGAGGTCCAGGTGGCGGGGATTGTCTTGGTTCTTAGAGAAGTGACATTGCTGGAGGCCTCCTGCCTGCCATATCCTGTGCTCATCACCTACCTTGTTGAGGTTTCACCCCTTTTCAGATGTCACAGCAGAAGTCTGGCAAGGATCTAGCTGATGAGCTCTGAGGTAGACAGTTCGGTATAGTATGGAAGGTTTAGAGCTGGGGCTAGCTGAGCCCTGGTGCTGGCCTGAGACATATACCTGGGCCAGCTCAGTGTAGCTGGCGACAGGAAGGACTAATTGAATGCATAATCTCTGCCAGGTTCTGAGAGTCTGTGAGGAATGAGACACGGTCACTGCCCATGGAGTGCAGGGACCAGAGCATTACAGAAGGGCTGTGTGTATATCACTTGGAGGGGGGTTGCAAAAGCCTGCCCCTGCAGGTCACTGTATCAGGCCCCCTGCCTCAGGAAGTGGAGACCAGGTGGCCACCTGTCCCCAAATGTGTTGCAGTACTTGAAAGGGGTGCCTTCCTCACCCCACTCCATTGACTTTTATCCTAGCTGGTACAGTTCTTCTGGGAGGGAGCTGGCCAGGGGGCCTGGCCTTGGGGTTCCCACCACATAGGAAATGGCTAGAGATGAGAGGCTCTCCATGTCAGGGTTAGAAATGGCTTGTGTTAGAAATGGCCTAGCATGGGCTAGGCAGTAGGGGCCATGATTTGGGTGGGGAGAGGGGGCACAGCCTTAGCTGCCTGATTTTATTACCCAAGGGCTTCTCAAGGCCCAGGAGGATTGGGGTAGTCTGTTGAAGATCCTAGGCTCCTGGAGTAGAGCCCCTCCGGTCATACACGTGAGATAGCTCTGGGGTTAGGTAGAATCAGGGCCTCTGGTTTGGCCATGTTCCTGTAGGGCTGGAGCTCTAATAAATTGTGCAAGGGGGCGGGGCTGAGGCCACTCCTGGGACCCTGGGGCCTGAAAGATGGCTTATCTGCCCCATCTGCAAGGTCCTGGTGCTCACTGAAGCAGGGAAAACTCTGCATCGTGGCTTATGGTTTGGAGGAGGAATGGCATGCCAGTGGGTCAAAGAAACAGGCAAGATAGGCTGGCTTTCTGGGTGAGGAACATCAGTCTTACTGGTACCTTGCCTTTCCCAGGGAGCAAGTGCACCCTTAAAGTCCTGGGCATGTGTGAATATTGTGTGATACAAGGCAGGTACTTCGTGCGCTGGGGTATGGCATATGGTCACCTCGTCTCCTTCACACATGGGTACCAGCAGCCCAGCCTCGGAGCCTGAATGGGAGTGAGTGGATAGCTTTGGGGACCTGGGGGCAATGCCACCTTCACACAGGGCCACAGCTGAGAAGCTATTGACACAGAGGGCCTGGGCAGGTGGGTGACGTGGAGACAGGTTGGAGATGTCTGTTCTGCTGAAATATGGTGAGCCACTGTTGTGGGTACCATTGGTGTTCATCAGCTGGGAGGCTGGCTGACAGGATCTCCAGAAGGTGGGCGAAGATTCCCACACCCGTGTGTATAGTCTGTTCAGTGAAAAGAAGTCAAGAAGCCTGAGATCCTTTCATCTGGGGCAGGAGGACAGTGAGGTCCCTTTCTGGGACAAGCGAGGGTGGGTGGGCAGGCTCCGGAGGTCCACATGAAGGGAAACATACCAGGGCTTGCCTATTGATAGTGAGACCTATTGCACCAAGACCTTCTCCTCTGCCACATGCAGCTAGCTCTCAAGTTCATTGTTGGGCAGATTGTGCCAACCTGCAATTCCTGTGCTGTACCTGGTACCCAGATGAAAGCCAGGGTGGGCCCACTGTGGTCAGGACAGACCAGCCAGCCACCCACTTCATCCTGATCTGATATCAGCTTCATCCTGACTGATAAACATCTGTATGATGGTGCTAGAACCCAGCCCAGCCTGTGTGTTGTTTGGAACCCCTGGAACCCCCACTAGCTCAGCTGTACAGCGCCTGTTCCCAGGTCTGCCTGTGGCGCCTGTTGACTTAATTTCTGAACTGGACCCCTTCTTAGTCCCTTATGGGCCCCCTCCTGGGTAAGGCCTGATTTGGGTACTGGACCAGGGGCTGTTGAACATGGTCACTGGCTTTCCTTATAGACTTCTGCTCTTGGACTCTTGATTTCTGGCTGGACATTTGGGGTCCCCCTTGGAGGTGGTGGACTCACTGTCTATGTTTGTCTGCTTTTGAATTAAAAATAAATACAAGTTGAGAGATCAGAGCTTTGCCAAGCTTTGGCAGAACTGGGGCATTGGGCATGCCGAGTCTTGTTTCCTGTGTTCTGGTGAATTCTGTCCTGAGGCAGAAACCCCAGAATTCAAGGGCTCTGTGTCCTGGTAGGTTTCCTCTCTGTCTTCTGGGGCTACCCCCTTCTGTCTAATTATTCTCCTTCTGAGGCACCTTGGGCCTTGGACAGCTGAAGCCTGGCTTCCCGGGGCTTTCCACCCCTAGGACTGCCTTCCTGTGGGTAGCACACAAGGAGTATAGGCCTTATCTGGTTCCAGGCTGCATCACTCTCTCAGGGAACCACTTCAAATGTTGGCTCTTTACCTGCTGGTGGTCACAGTACTGGGGAGGGTGGGGAGTAGAGAAGGACCCTCTTCCACTATGACATCACCTGTCCCAGTCTCTGTCCCCTGGATATGTTAGGTTATTATTTGACAGTGGCTGAAGTGGGCCCTCCCCATGTAGGTCCTAATAATTTGGGCTTGGGGTGGGCCACCATAGCCTAGGGGTTTAGAGCTGGGGATTGGACTCTGGATTCACACTGATGTTCATAAAATCTTGGTCAAGGCACCAGCCCTGGAGACCTGAGACTTCTTCAGCTCTACAGTGGTGTGGTAGCAGGAGCTCATGTTTGGCTTGTGGGAATGGAGCTGCATAACCTGGGCTCCAGTTAGTGCTGGGCTCACGCTGGTGTTGCCCAGGGTTTCATGGCTGCAGGATGGGGCTACTAGCTCTTTGCTGCTGGCCTGGCTGCTCCTGTAGCTTACATCCCATTCCTTGAACTTTCCTCCTTCAGAGCCTCATCCCAGGTTCTTCACCCCCGGTTTTGTGCTCTGTATAGGACATGTGCCTTCTGGCTGCGGAGCCTCTGAAATCGGTTCCAAGAGCCACACAGAGAAGGAGATCGCTCCCTGCCGATCTGTTGAGGTGAGGAGAATAAGGTAGGGAAGGACAGAAGCCAAGCAAGGATGCAACCTGAGGCCAGCCTAGACCCACAGCAGAGCTCTGGGTCTCCCAGGGTGGACAGTAGACCCCGGGGTGCTTTAGCTCCTGGGTATGCAGCTAGGAAGCTCCAGGAGCCTTGAGGTAGTCCTCTGCATGGAGCCCTAAGGTCTGTCCCAAAGGGAGTGAGTGCTGTGTACTCACAGGTATGTGCATTTGTGCCTGCATCTGCCCATCACCCAGTCCATACCGCCTGTGGTCCACAGACCGCCCAGGCCTTTCCTCTGGATACAATTAAAAACAGTTCACCTGTGCTGCCAGGTGACCTTGATTGAAGGTGAAGCTTGGCGTCTCTCCATGTTGAGTTCTCATTTGTCATTTGGCCTGGCCCAGTTTTATCATCTGAAGCTATGACCAGTCCTTTATGAGTTCTCATCCAACGTGTCAGGCTGGGTAGGGCCACTGTGGTGTCTAAAGCATGGCACTGGATTACTCTATTGTCATCATGGTCCCCAGCACCCCTCCCCCACAATCCTCGCAAACATCGTGGGGGAGTCATGCAAGGCCAATTTGTTAAAATCAGCATCACCTAAGTCCAGTCCCAGGACCCTCCCCTTCAACAAAGAAGGAGGCTGGGGTGTGGGGGGGTGGTGGTGGGGAGGACACCACTCAGCAGGGCTGCCTTCTCCTGCTTCACCTGCTTCTGTTTGACACACTGTTGGAGATCAGCGAGCTAAGATTTAGACTCCATCTTCTTGTCCTTTGGGGAACAGAGGCCAGCTCCACTCTCAGCCTTGGCACACCCGCTTAGCCTCCTAAAAACTGTTCCTGGCACATGGGGCTTAACCTCCTAGTTTCCTGGAAGGTGACATCGAGGGTCAGCAAGGAACCTCCTGAATATCTGTTCTTTAGAAACCTCGGTGAGCCCTACAGTTGGCTCACCTGCTTTGGAGGGAGTCCCTAGAAGGACCCGAGAACCATGTTGACTTGTAGGATTGGGAGAACATAGGATTTGTGCCGGGTCTGTGGTCACAGAGCTGTAAGGGCACCTGGAAACCTTGAACTTGTTAAAAAACCAAGACAAACCAAAGTGTCGCAGGCAGATTGGATTGGGGCAGCTGGGCAGTGTCCGACTCTTTCTGCAAGAACTGGGCACATGTCACCTTTGCTATCCTTGAGCCGTGACTCTGCAGGATTCACGCTGAGTCATGGGCCACCCTCCCCCACGCTGCCAGCCAGAGACAGTGCAGCAAGAAGGCAGGTCTGGGTCCTGAAACATGAGCTCTCCAAACAGATATCCTAAAACTCACTTCTGTGGCTTCACTTTATTAGAAGGGAATGTGAATTGGGGGCTCAAAGCTTAGACTGTGAAGTGTGTTCCCTTTTACAGGTACCCACAGACTTGCCTAGTCTGCCTTGGCCTGGGATGGTTCATTTCACAGCGTCTTTCTGGAGAATAACCCTGGCGTGCCCTTTTTGCACACGTGTCTCTGCAGCCCAGGGCAAGGTGGCCTCCTACCCTCTTCCCCTCCACGTTCTTTCTCCAGCGTCTCTTCCCTTTTCTGTCTCAATTCCTCTTGTCCCTAGAACACTTTGTCTCTCCACTGTCCCAATATCCCTGTCCCTGGAGCTTCCTTCAGTTTATGTCAGGGGCCTGTCCTGCCTTGGCTCTGTCACCCCAAACCTCAGTCTTTCTCTTCCTATGATCTGGAGCATTTCCCCTAGGCCAAGGCTTGGTCTGGGTCTCAGTGTCCTTGATTTTGGGGGCTAAGCCCTTCTCCTCTACCTGTTTTGTTTCTTTCTGGACACACACTAAAGGGCTGTGTTTACAAAACGCTTTCCGAGCAGACCCTTAGACAGGGAGGCCTCACTGGGGTCCCTCTGCTGGCTTCCCATTGCTTTGGAAATTGCTTGTCAGTGGTCCTGCTGGGTGAATGCAAGGACGCCAGGCTGACTAGAGGGGCATCCCAGGAGTTCTCGGTTTGCTGGGCACACTTGCTGGCGTGAGGTGGGTCGTCTCTTCCTTTGAATGCTCAGAATCTTGCTCTGCTTGATAGGTTTGGATGTGGTTTGAGCCTCCTTGGGGGTGGGCCTAGCAACACTGTCTTATCCTTGTGTCTTTCCTGTGTGGAACTGGACTCCTATCCAGGAAGTCAAGTCTAGAGACTGGGTCAGAAGATTTCTGACTTTGACGCCATGTGCCTACATCTCCCTTCTAGACCTGAGTAGGGCAGAAGTAAGGAGCCTCTGTCGGGCCGGAACTTTCTACTTGCTCCCCCAGAGCTAAACTGGGATGCTGGAGCCCAGGGGCAAAGAGAGAATGGTCTTCTCACCTCGTGCCCCTTCTGTCCTCACTGGAGCTGTCTGTCTGTCCCCTGTTCCTGCTTTTCTTCGCTCAGTTTTAAAGGAAGGTCTGAGAAGACAGTGGGCATGGGTGACATTTTGTATGCATGCTTCCTGGATGCTTTACTTTGAAGAGTTTCTGCATTTCTTATCATAGAACTGGAGGTATGAGGGAGGGAAAAGGTTTCTTGTGTAGGTTTCCGTTCCTAAACTCACCGTGCATGGCTTCTTTTTCTTGAGGCGGACACTCCTCTGGGCAGGGCAGCAGCTAGGAATGTGGTCACAGATCATTGGCCTGGGAATAGCGCAGAGCATTGCTGAGGCCCACGTCAGCAAGGACAGCCATGCTTTAACAGAGATTTTACCGTTTATTTTTTCATTAGTTTGGGCTTTAAGATATTACATTAAGACATTATTTGTCTTAACTACAAAATCTTCTGGCATGCCTGTACAGTTGGTTCCTAGCCACTGCCTGATTTCCTGGGCCAGGCTCTTGAGTCCCCTGCTGCTCTGGAACCGGGGCTGAGAGCAGAAGCTCTTTCCAGTACACACTGTCAGCAGGGTGACCAGATGCCCCCTAGTGGGAAGGTGGGGCACAGCATGGGAGCCACGTCCTGGGTGGGGAGTGGGAGCAGTGATGTATCAACAGTGTCCAGTTTGACGGTGAAGGGTGGAGCTGCAGGGTTGGTGGATGGCCATCTGGGCAGGCAGTCTCTTCACTGCTGAGTCCATTTCTGACACTTAACCCCGTAACACTCCCTTCCTGTGGGGGCTCCGGTCGATCTGGACCACAGTAAGGGGATCCAGAGAAGACAGGGAAGGCAGAGCCAGGGCAGCAGCGTAAGGCACTGTCCGAAGGATCACCCATTCTCCCTGAACCTTCCACTCCGTATGGACTCCGTGGGTGAGGGGCTGAGTGGGAACCCGTCCCTCCCACCTAACCCACGTGGTTGTGTAGATCTAACGTCGGCTTACCTTCGCCTCTCAACTCACCCAGAGCCTCAAATGTGCTTGGCTGTCTCACCCAAGATGGTCTCCCCAGGCCCGAGGAAAGGGTGTGGACGGTCAGGGCTCCCCTTGATCTGGGCAGAGGAAGGGGAATAGGAATAGGGTGGACGTGAAAGTGAGCCACCACAGGGGGTGACTGGAAGAGACAGACTGGGCCTAAAGCTCCTTGTGGGGAGGCAGCATCTCTACCTGGAGCCCCAGGCTGGCTGGGGATCAAAGTGTAGTGGGAGTCTAGAGGTGCTAGAGAGCGCAGCTGCTCACAGATGGTGGGTGAGAGGACAGGGGGATTTCACCAAGGAAGTGCGGATGATGGGTATGCATGGGAATGAAGAGTAGGATGTGAGCAGCTGCCCCGGCTTCCCTTCCGGAGTGTGGGGCAAGCGCTCCTCCCTCTCCGTGTTCACATGGCGGCTCTGGGGTGCCGTCTTAGGCTCTCCTGACTTCGAGTAACTGAATTGTGAAATGAAAGTTACCAGAATGGTTAGAATGCTTCCTCCCCACTTAGGAATCCAGGAGGTCTCTGGTTCCAGGCTTGGTTCTGTGGTTCAACACAGATATCAAGGAGTCAAGTTCTTTCCGGCTATCTGCTCTGTCATCTTTAGGGTCTTAGTGAGGGCTGACCTCGTGGTCACATGATAGCTGCTGCACCTCCGGGCATCATATCCTCATCCAAATCTGCCACAAGAAGATATTGGCACACATATTAAAAGATTGAAAATTGGGTTTTTTAGTCTGGTTCATAAAATAATTTAAAAATGGCCCCTGGAGGAAATTCGAGGGTGGTTTTACTGGAATTTGTGAGGAGGGTGGAAAGCCGGCAGGCAAGCTATGTGTATGAGCTGTTGCCAGAAGGAAGGAGATGGAGAAGATGAAGACAGGGAGAGAAACCCACACCGGCTGATTAGACCAGCTCCAGTCTGCTGCGGAGGTCAGTAAGTGCAGCTCCAGAAAAAGAGGGAGACATCCCAGAGTGTCTGGGAACTCATACCCAGGCTTTGGCCAGTATCTGAAAGAAAAAGAAATAGATGACAAGGAGGAGTTCCGTTTTTACGAGTAACTCAGAAAAGCAAGCAGGTTCTGCAGAGACATTCCGAGAGCATTTGCAGCTTGGGCGGGTTCTGGGAGGAACAAGGGCATCATCTCATTCAAGGGGTAACTTTAGCCTCTCACCTTAGCATGTCTTCAGGTAAACCAAACTTGGGAAGGGAAGTTGGGGGGTCGTCCTGGCCAGGTGATTGACAGGCCAGCTGCATTAACCCTCAGAAGGGGGCAATAGTAGAGAATGCTTGTCTCCTGTCTCCTGACCTGGTAACCAGTGGTCTCTTTATGACATCTGTGGTTTTGAATGTCGTCTAGTGGGACTCGTGTGGCAGGCAGCCTTTTCAGACTGGCTTCTGTCACCTTCCTCTGTGTCTTCATGGCTTGTGTAGGAAGCCACATCTAAGTCTTCACCGCTTGTGAGTAAGAATGCCATGTTGAGGCCACACAAGCTTGTGGCAGCTCCTCCCTTTCATGGATACTGGTACCCTACTGAGACATTACCGGGGAGTCCTTAGCTAAAGGACTTCTAGTGCCAGACTCTCTCACCTGGGAAGTGAGTTTACACTGAAGGGGGTACTGGTTGACCACATATCCTGCTCCCCACCCTCTCCCCTACCTCTTGCCTGGGCATCAGAAAGCCTGGCTGCAGACTCCTGCTGTGAAACCTTCCCTAGCCTCAGACACGAACTCTGGAACTCTCACGTTTGGTTTGCCGTGTGGGCTCTGCGCCCTCTCTTCAGAGACCCTGCCATGCTGTCTGTCTCATGTGCTGGCCTGAGCTCTCCTTGGAGCCTCCACCATGGCTATTGCCTCTCTGTCTGTCTGTCCATAACGTTAGTAACTTTCATCATAAACTCTGTATTCCCCGCTAATATGTCTCAGTGTCCTTGAACCCCCTCTGAAGCCGTTCAGTTTGTTCACTTCCTTTTAGTGCTGAGCAGTATTTTATTGTATGGCTGCACCAAAGTCTGTCTGTCCTGCTGAAGGACATCTTGTTTGCTATGTTTGGGATTCATAAATAAGGCTTCTACAAACCTCGTCATACGGATGCGACAGAAGTCCAGTTCGGTTGGGTGAATTCTTAGGAGCATGATTCCGGATTGAGTGGTAAGACGGGACTCTAGGAACTCCCAGTTCAAAGCCATCTCTCCCAGCGGCCACCCAAATTTGTGTTCCCACTAGCAAATAGGAGAGGTTTGTTTCTCACCTTTTTATCTTTAGCTATTACACAAGCTGAAGTATCACTGTGTACAAAATTTCGTGGGTGTGTGTGAGACTACCTGTAGAGTAACTTTTTCATCCAATGGTACATCAGCAGATTACTTTTCAAAAAGAATTTTATCCACAATGCCTGAAAATGCCCATTTTCACACCCATGTTTGACTGCGTCCTACCAAACTTCAGTATTTTGGCAATTTGACAAGTGAAAAAAAGGGTATTTCCCACAAGGCTTTCACTACGAGCGAGTGACGTAGTGTTCTGTCCGACTGCCTGGGTGAGATTCTTTCTCTGGTGACTTTCAAGATGTGTAATGTTGGGTAAGTTACTGAATGTCTCTGGGCTTCAGTCCCTCCACCTATAAAGTGAATTAAGCAGCGGTCCTTGCCATGTTAATTGGACTTGAAGGCTCAAAGGTATCCATCATGCTAATGCTAACACCACCCCTGTCTCTAAATATGTGGTAAGTTAATGAATATTATTATGTAATATTTTTGTGACAGTTTGGGTTTCTTGGCTTATGATCTGGCAGTTCATATCGATTCCTTATTTTCTCTGGATTTTTCTTTTGCATATTAATTGACTGGAGCTCTTTGTGTCTTAATAAATTTCATATATACGTCATTTGTATTTTTTTATCAAAGTGTTTGATTTTTATCTCTGGTTCTGAACCAGTGTGACATTCTTCTCTGGGACACAGCTCATGCAGCCCCACGTTTCCCATCTACGGTTTCCTTCTGAGGACTGTCACACCAGCCAAGCCAATGTATTTTTCAGTAAGGGAGGAGACTGGCCGAGGCGGGGGCAAGCAACCTGCCTAAGGACACCAGGGAGTTAGTGTCCAGTCAGACCTTCTCTTGGTTTCTTAGGTTTGGCCTTTACTGTTAGAAAGAGGAGGGGGGTTTAGAGGGTTAGGGAAGAGAAGGTCCAAAGGTAGCTTCAAGGTGTCCCCCTCCCAGAAACCAGGAGCTTGGGTCCCTTGCTCTGGTAAGTCTGGACTATCCAAATGGAGGATATGAGTTCACTGAGAGAGGCTCCCTGCTTGGTTTGTGGTTGAAGAACAGGTGTGTGTGTGTGTGTGTGTGTGTGTGTGTGTGTGTGTGTGTGTGTGTGTGTGTTTTCATGGAGTATTTTGAGATTGGTATAGCTTCAAACTGAAGCTCTTCCTGACTTCCAAGTGGAACTACCAGCGTGAGCCACTAGCTCAGTGTGTCTGATCTTGAATCAAGTTCCCCAGCATCAGAATGTAGAACAAGACTTTGAGCTGGATGACAACGATAGGCCTCAGCTGTTCAGCTGTCTGTTTCACAGTGCTCCTCAACTTGTGATGGGCTGTGTCCTGATCAACTCACCCATGTTCAAGCCTGGCCTAAGTAAAAAATGCATTTAGGGCTGGAGAGATGGCTCAGAAGTTAAGAGCACTGACTGTTCTTCCAGAGGTCCTGAGTTCAATTCCCAGCAACCACATGGTGGCTCACAACCATCTGTAATGAGATCTGGTGCCCTCTTCTGGCTTGCAGGAATACATGCAAGCAGAACACTGTAAACATAATAAATAAACAACATTTATATATATATTTATATATATATATATATATAAAATGCATTTAATATGTGCAACCTCCCTCAGCCCTGGCTTAGCGAAAGCTCAACCTAGAGTATCCTCTCCTTTTCTGGACTCTGTAGCATTCTCTACATCTCCCAAGGTTGGGAGCCAATGAAAAAGCCTGTGGGAATACCAGAGCCTGGCTGGCAGTTTTCCTTCTGGGTGGCTCAGGGTCCTTGACAGTAGTTACCAGTCTCATGGATTGATGCCAAGTTATATGCCAAGTACTATTTGTTTGCTTGTTAGTTTATTTATTTACAGATAGGGTCTTACTCTGAAGTCCAGGCTGGCATAGAACTCGTGTTTCAGTCCCGCATGAGCCACCATGCCTGGCTTCCCTCGTATTTATTCTTATCACTCTAGTTCTCACAGCCACAGGAAGTGTGATGTTAGTCCATTTCCTAAGTGCTGCAGGTCAGATAACTTACAAAGAACAAGGGTTATTCGGTTCGTGATGCCGAAGGCTGGGATGTTGGCGATCAGGTGGCCGTATCTGGTAAGGCTCTTTCTGCTGGTAAGGATTTAGCAGTCGACCACAGGGTAGCACCTAGACATAAGGTCCTATGTGTCCTACTGCCCTTTCCTGCCTTTCTATAGCCACAGTCCTATGGGGTCAGGGTCCCACCTGAACAGCTTCAGTTAGTCTCCGGATGAGCCCCATCATTCCCGCTGTGTAGTGTGGAGACGAACACCAGCAGGCCAGAGGTGTGCCTGAGTATCGGGTGGAGCTGGCACTGCTCCCAAGCCTGGCCTACCACTACCAGGGCCACTTGTCAAGGTTTTCAGTAAACCAGTAAGTTGCACAAGAAACATGGCTTTGCAGGGCCTCCTCTTACAGGTCATCTAGTACAGCCCCACGTCACAGACCAAGCCACCAGGGCTGTCCAAGTCTCTCACACCGTCGCTTTCCTCTTGGTGGTTCTCAGGCTTGCTTCTACACCCTGGGCATCCTGTCTAAGTCCGGGTGCCTCTCCTGATTGAAGGGGCCACTGCTGTACCCTGGAACTCTCTGCTGGGCTAGCATTCTAAAATCATTCCTTCAACCACTCATTCAGTAAACACTGCCTGAGACTTGCTGTGAGTGGTGCACTGTGACCAGCACACTGGGGAAACAGGCCCAAAGACCAGGTTATGGCCTTCTCTATAGTCTGGAAGCTACTGGTAGAGAGGGAGCTGCCGAGCTCCTTTGGCTGAACTCAGCCCAGTGCTAGTGGCACCTGTTAATACCTGTGAGGTGGCTGGTGCTGTGGTCCAGGCTGAGGGATCAGAGAAGTCACCTGAGCAGAGGCAGAGGCCACCGAAGGAGGAAGGAGGTTGCTTCTGGGAGGTTCTGAAGCGGTAGAATGAACTGGAAGAGGTGTGGAAGATTCCCAAGGGACATGAACAGCCGGGCAAAAGATCTGGAGATGCTTGATTGGGGAAGGCAACCCTGGGCAGGTTTCAAAATGGAAAGAACTGTCCTGATGTTTAGGACCAGGACTCTTCTGCTGGCTACATTGTTGACCCTGAAGGCTTTGCTGTCCCAGTGGCAAAGGGGCCTGTGTGGGATGCCTTCTGCCCCCCAGGGCTGCCTAGGATCCACACTCCTAGCTCAACTTTTTCCGATTGTCATCTCCAGGCCTGGCTGGAAGCCTGGAAAGTCCACAGCTGGGCAGTGGCCTCATGAGGAGGGAGTGGAGCCTCTCTGTCTGATGGACTGGAGCCTCCCTGTACCCAGCCTCTTGGGGGAGCCCAGAGCCAGGTGTCCTGTAACTGCAGCCTTCCAGACTTGGTGTTGAAAAGCTTGGTGCAAGCCGGGAGGAACTCGCCTGGGCACCCACCAGTGGGATCCTCTCCATCCGAGGAACGAGCTCTCTCCAGTGCTGACAGAACCAGGCATCCGCAGGCCTGGGCCTGCCACAGTGTGGACAATGACATGTAACTGTCATCAAGCAAGAAGTGCAACCCAGGTTGAGACAGAACCTTTGCCGTGGCACCCGAGTTCTTGATTCGACATGCTTATGGTACGTCCTTGTTCTTTTTTAAGAGTTGAATTTATTTTTGATTGCTACAAGAAAACATAAAACTGTACATATCACCATGTGATGTCTTGATACCTGCATACACTTATTGTTTAAATCAGCTTTAATATATCTAACTCCCCAAACATCATTTCTTAAGCCTCACAAACCCTTCTGTTTGAATGTAGAGCGTGTGCTTTCTTTTCTTTCTTTTTTTTTTTTTTTTTTTCGTTTTTCGAGACAGGGTTTCTCTGTGTAGCTTTGCGCCTTTCCTGGGACTCGCTTGGTAGCCCAGGCTAGCCTCGAACTCACAGAGATCCACCTGGCTCTGCTTCCCGAGTGCTGGGATTAAAGGCGTGCGCCACCATCGCCCGGCCGCGTGTGCTTTCTTAAAGGAATAATGTAGAACTTTTCTTTTCCTTCCTTACTCCATCGTGAGCTTCTCAGGGATGGGGATACTGGCTCTTAGGTTTGTTTTCCAGCACTTGTTCCTGAGGATGGCTTTAAAGGGAACACAGAGTTTTAAAAGGTCAAAGTGGGGCCTGAAGTGACTGACCAGGCCAAAGTCTCAGCCAGGAGGAAGCTGAACACTGGAAAGTAGCTGCTAAGACCACTGTTGCCCTAAAGATTTGCAGGTCTCCACTGGCATCAGGTGAGCCCCTCATCTGGAGAAAAGCCACGGGGACCCAAAGGGATGAAAGTCAAAACTTAAGATCTAGGAGCCTGCAAAACTCTCCTATTTAGGGCAGGGATTCGGAGAGTATTCCTGGGGCCTCATCCCCACCTTCAACATTGGGTACTCCTGGGGTCTCACCCCCCCCCCCCCAGCATCGGGTACTCCTGGGGTCTCATCTCATCCTCCCTCAGCATTGGGTACTCCTGGGGTCCCATCTCATCCCCCACTCTGCATTGGGTACTCCTGGGGTCTCACCCCCCCCCTCAGCATCGGGTACTCCTGGGATCTCACCCCCCCCCCAGCATCGGGTACTCCTGGGGTCTCATCTCATCCTCCCTCAGCATCGGGTACTCCTGGGGTCTCATCTCATCCTCCCTCAGCATCGGGTACTCCTGGGGTCTCATCTCATCCTCCCTCAGCATTGGGTACTCCTGGGGTCCCATCTCATCCCCCACTCAGCATTGGGTATTCCTGGGGCCTCATCTTTCCCCCATCAGCACACTTCTATGTTCTGATTCAGCACCAAGAACTTTCCACTTTGAACCCCCGGATCTGTCTGTCCCAGTGTTTCCTGTGGTCACAGGAATAAGTCCAACCCACCCACAGGCTCCCAAATCCAGCGACTCAACAGCTTCCTGAACGGCCTGTGATCACCTAGGGGCAGGAAGTGGTAGATACAGTAGCTAAGCCTCCTTACCCTGGAATAGGACAATTCTGAGGGATTGTTGCATAGGGTGGGGGGAGGGTGATGAGCGAAGCCTCATTTACAGATTATATGGGTCATTGCTAAACAAAGGTGTCTCTTGTTTTTCACAACTCATTTTTGTTTTGACAACTCACAATTGACCAGTGTCCCATATGTATCATTTCCTAATGCTGGTGACTTGGACAACTAACCCAGATGTCACTACTAATCCCGCACCGGGGTCTGCTCAAGGTGATAGGATCAAGGAGGGTAGCAGAGGCAGGCAGAAACGCTGCCTTCTCTATGCACGCTATGGTTCCCTTCGTGGTGGTCAGCCTCTCTCTGGTTAGCTTTTTAGACTCCGGGTTTTCTTACACTGCCTTTGGATGGATGACTTTTAACTAGGGCCCACGCGACTCCCACAGCTACTTCTCTATGTAGGGCCTGGGAGGCATCTCTGGACACCATTCCTCCGCCCCTCTGTGGTGTTGCTCACAGGTCCCTTCCACAGGCCACCACTCTGTGTTCACGGCTCCTCACAAAGGCCTTTTAAGCAACTTTCCTTCCTTCTCAGCCCTCAAGACTCTCTTAAGCTGTGGCTGGTTTTGCCACCTGGGATGCTGCAGCAAGGTGAGGCTGTGGATCCCTTGACTCTGGGTCTGCCATGAGCAAAGGCCTGGATGCCTAGAGCTCCTTACCTAGCTAGGGTTCTGTCTGGGCCACATCCTTCCAAGCACTTGGCATCTTATTCGAAGCGTTGAAATGAAGGCACACGTTTGCAGAATAATAGCAATGGAACTTCACGCAAAGCAGCGCAGTAGTGTAGATTCGGAAGAAATACCCTGTCAAGACTGACAGCGGCACAGTCTGGAGACTTGGCTTAGTGGTTAAGGACACTGGCTGCTCCTCTTCCAGGGGACTGGAGTTCTGTTGCTGGTACCTATGCAGGGCAGCTCGAAAAGCCTCGAACTCAAGCTCCATGGGATCCTGCGCCCTCTTCTGGCCTCTGCAGGCACCTGCACATATGTGGCAGACACAAACATAAATAAAAATTGAACAACTCTTAAAAGATCTTAAAGAGTGACATCAACTCACACAAGTGAGAAAGAACTCAGGAGTTCTGACTATTATTTGGTGCTTTGTTTATGAGGTTCAAGCGAAGGAGGAGTTCCATTACCAGAGGTGTGATTTTAATTTTTTTCTTCTTCTCCTTTTCCTCTTTCTATTATTATTATTATTATTATTATTATTATTATTATTATTATTATTATTATTATTATTGGCTTAAATCTTGTTCTTTCCATTCCTATGTGACTAGCACCTACTGGCTGAAGACCTATGGGCATCCCACAGGGATCAGGGCCCTGCTTGAGCAAGCCCGAAGACCTTTCATTCTACCTTTACTGTTTTTAAATCCAAGCGCCTCCACTTCCGTCTTTCCCATGATTTCAGCAGAGCCAGAGGCAAATAAAGGAAACTACAGGAACAATGGGCAAGAGCTGTGCTTTCTGGCTGGGTCAGCCGGCCTCACAGACTCCACACTTCTCCCTGCAGCTGTGAGTGGAAGTCGAGGTCAGGTGCATACAGGACTGGAGGAGATACAGCTCTGCAGGGCAGCGCCTGTGTTTCCAAATCATCCATTCATAGAATCAACAATTGGCCTGTTTATGAAGTGTTCACTTGGCATGTATTTATATGTGCCTTCCGTGTGCCAGACATTTAGCTGTGTTTTGGCTGCTTGCAGATTCCACCCACCAGGAGTTCATAGCCAGGAGGAGATAAATTGTGTTGAGTAGAACAGTTTATGGTGTGATTAAAGCTCACTCCCGCCTACCTGTTGGAACAGTCCCCTCCAGGATCTTCCTGCCTTTCAGAGTATTTCTTGTCCAGCATAGTGGCAAACGCCTTTAACCCCAGCACTGGGAGGCAGAGGTGGGTAGTACTCTTAGTTTAAGGCCAGCCAAGGGTACACAGTGAGACTCTGTCTCAAAATGTCAACGCAAGAACAGTAAAAATTTCAAAAAATGTTTCTCTACACAAATCCTGAAGTTCAGATGGGGCCCTGCTCAGGTTTTATCTGGATGACTTTGCTTGCAGAGAGGATGCCCCTTAGTGTCAGAATGAGAGGAACCGAAGACATGAAGTTATGCAGTGAGGTGGGTCCCAGGCAGCCGCCGGCACAAAGAACAAAGCAGGGCCAGCAGCGGGGAAAGCAAGTATTCCTCTGGTCCCGCACCGGTGGACAGTAGCTGCCACTTGGCTGTGGTGTTCTGTTTTTCCCATCCACCAGCCCCAGGAAGCTGGATTGTACACGCACACTTTTCTCTGGAAATTAAGCCCTGCCCCCTGCAGGCCCCGGGGTGGCTATGCACCCTGGTTTCCCACTGCGCTTCTTTTATATGAATCCCAGAGAACCAACTGTCCGTTCTGGGGCTATTGCTTTGATGGCAAGATTTGGAGGTTTCTTGTCATCTGAGTGAGTGAGTGAGTGAGTGGGTGGGTGGCACAGGGTTTGGGCAGGAGGCATTCAGCCGTGGTAAGGGAGAGGAAGGGCCATGAGGAAAGGGGATATACATGGCATGTTGATGAGTGCATCAAGCTGAGACAAGAACATAGCCCGTGATTTTCTTCTTGGAGCACCTCTCTCTCTGAGGTCCCGTTCCCCTCCTTCCTGTGGCCAAATGAAGAGATGCTGGCCACTTCCCCAGAGCCTTTCTCTGTCAGGTGAGATGGACGAACAGTTGAAGGGCAGGGGATGATGGCTCTGCTGTTGGAAGCAGTGGGCAGCTTTAGCCTTTCACCACAGGAAAGGCGACCCTGAATTCCCTCGGTGACCCTCTGTTGGTGCCACCGGGTCTTGCAGCTGCCACAGCGCCCCGACAGCCTGTCTTCTCCCCCTTTCAACTATTTATGCCACACACTAACTGTTCCCAGCAGTAAGGGAATACCTGGCAACCCCTCCCCTCCCCAGGCAGCTTCCCAAACCCCATCTCTACCTCTCCTCCCCTCCCTTCCAATCCAACGAGCCCCCTATCTGATTTCCAGTAACCACTTCCCAGCTTTACTTCATAATTTATTATCCAAGTATGCATACCTAGACCCTACAGTTAAGTCTTGCCTGTTTTAGAAAAATACGAATGCCTTTCAAACGCCAGCTAGTACATAAATCGTCATTTAGTGCCCTGCCCCCGTAATTTATTTGTTAAAGACTCAAATCATTTTTAGTTTCCCAGAGTTTGGGTTTATTTATTTTACGTTCCGACAGCAGTTTCCTCTCCCTCCTCCTCCCAGTCCCTCCCCACAATGCCCTCACTTCCCCAGATCCACTCCTCTTCCTTTCTTTCAGAAAAGAGCAAACTTCCCATGGATATCGACCAGCCATGGCACATCAAGTTGCCCTAAGACTAGACACCTCCTTTCCTACTAAGGCTGCATGAGGCAACCTGGAAGGAGGAAAGGTTCCCAGAAGCAGGCAACAGAGTCAGAGACAGCTCCTGCTCTCACTGTTAGGAGTCCCACAAGAAGACCAAGCTACACAACTGTCACATATGTTCAGAGGGCCTAGGTCAGTCCCATGCAGGCTCCCTGGTTGGTGGTTCAGTTTCTGTGAGCCCCTGTGAGCCCAGGCTAGTTGATTCTGTG